AAAGTAATCTATCAATCTTTTCGATTGGTTCCGTGGAACAAAAGGATAACCTAGATATGAAAGATGATTATCCATTTTAAGTTCAGATTCAGGCACAAACTTAACGAGTTTCACAAGTAGTGAACAGACTCTAAAAAAAAAGGAAAAACAAAGAAAAAGAAAAGGAATCAGTTAGGGTTGAAAAAGTTTATTGCCGTCCCCAATAATGGTGCCACTTTTGATGGGTGTCGAATCCACAAAAAAAAAACTACTTAAAACTACAGACAGTGGTAAGCAGGGTCGACCCCACAGGGACCGGTGAAACTCTAATAAACCCTAAATGATTTGACTCAAGTCACAAAGAAACATAAAAGACAGACGACTTGGAAAAGTGAGAAACTTACTTAGCTGAGTGTCGTGAGGTTCTTATCATGTCCTCTCTCTAGCTTATTATTTTGGTTGCTACTTTTGTGGTATCAAACTATATCCGATCAGGCACTTATACACAGCAAGGTCAAATCTTATTATTCCAGACAGCAGTCCTAATAGCAACATACCAACTAACTTCCATTGTTAATTTAAGAATACTAACTTCCAAATTGATGTGACCAGTACGAAGACAACTAACTTCTCGTGCTAAACAACTACCTTCCTTTGTTGTTTGAAATATTGGGTTGTTACCCCCACTTTACCGGCTCATACTAGACATTCTAAGTGAAGTTTACCCTCATGGGATTCCCCCCACATGCATGCACAATTGACTAGTTGATCATTCTAATCAAAAGGATCATTAAAACTCTAGTACTAAGCACACAAATATCATCCAAGCACAACCATATAGAATAACTAGAGAGATTCAATGGTCTACTTATATCCTTGACTACAACTGATATAATAATGATCAGCATAGTCAAGGACATGATTACAAACAAGAAAATACCAAAAAGAAAGAAAATGGGGGATGGGAGCAAGCTGCTACTGCTGCTGTGAGGCTGGCTACTTGAGCAAGTAACAAAGTCACTTCCCCGAGAAGCCACCTGTAGCTGCAACCTAACTGCTCCTCTTCTTCTCTCTCTATTGTCTATCTATCAGACTCTCTCTCACTCTCAGTCTGGTCTTAGTTCTCTCCCAGATGAGTTGATGCCCCTTGCTGGTGCTGTTCTTGTGGCTTTTGTAGAGGTTGGAGGAGGTAAGCTTGCTTAGTGAGGTTGATCTCCTTTTTGTCCATTGGATTAAGACCAAAATGAGGAGACCCATACATTCCTCACCTTCTCCCATATCTTTAGATCTGATTTATGGCCATCTAATCCTTCTTTTGCAGCCTTAATCAGCAGCTTTGCGGCCCTCGATGCTTCCTTATCTTCCTTAGCCTTGAAGGCTTGGTTGGGTTCAAGCTTCCTTAGCCTTTAAGCCTCCAAAGGGGCTCTCTTGTCCATGGCTGATGTTGCTGGTTCCTTCCTCTTCTTTGGAATTGCAGAATAAGTCCAATTGGGCACTTTTCGATTGCTGCCCAAAATTTTACCAATTTGCACTAATTTGCCCACTTTTTATCCATATTTATAATTAGGTCCCTTCATCACGAAAAGTCATAAAACCTAATTAGAAACATATAAATCCTAACTAAATACTATAATTTCAAGTGAGAAAGAGGAAAATTATGTATGCTTTCAGATATATAATTTGACTCGCATCAGAGCACTTGAATGATATCTACTTCTCTCTTTTAAATATATTATTACTCTTCATTTCTCTAAAGCCCAAAACTGACTTAATCTTTAGAGTACTGACCCTGTCTTTCCAGGTCTTTTGCCCCGCTTGACCGTTGACCAGGTGACCCTATCGAAACACCCTCATCACTAACTAATCAAATTTGTTAATCGTACGACTATATTAATTTGGTTATATGCACAAATAATGGTAGATTTGAGTCCTGCTCTTGTACATACTATGTCGTTTAGTGTAATTTAACTATTGGCGTAACAAGATATGAGATTTCACTGGTAATCCTTTTAATTTTAGTTATTTTAGATCATAATCAAAGAAATTCACTACAAGAAAAAACACTTACAATGACATAGATGTAAAGGCATTGTTAGGGAAATGTCATAATAGAAAGAGATATTAAGGCATTATTAGGAAATTGTAATAATAGATAGTCAAATAAGGCATAATATTTTTTAATAACAGTGGACTAAAGTATAAACGACACGTCTACAAAGGCATTTATGTATATTATATTAAAAAACAAAAAACTAATGCTCCAATGTTAAAAAAAATTTAAAAATAAAAAATTAATATGCATCCACGTTCCTTCAAGCCACTAACGCACCACCAGTAAGTACTCAAGTTGATAACTCAATGTTAAACCAAACAATTTGGGGGAAAACTACTTAGATGTTGAGTTCGATCAATTTGAAGAGTGGTTTGGTTTAACACGAGTAGCATATTCACTTCGGGATTCAGAGGAATAACATATTCAGAGACCCAAAATTCAGCAAGTCCCAACCAATGAGTTTTGAGTAACCCCTAACAAATTTAGTTTTTTCATTGGCCAATTGATTAGGGCTTTCATTAAGATATGTGAATTTGAAATCTAGTTCGAGAAGATTAATTAGGACTCTTTGGTAAATTATCAGTGAATCAACTGAACTCTTTTTTTATTAGACAGTAATTACGAAGGAATTTATGCAATGGAGGTATTATCTTTCTTTATTCTTCTTTTCCTTGTTTTTTTCATTTGGATCAACTTGTGCCAATCAATTTGGTTAAGGGTTTTTGGCTCGTTAGAATTTGGAGGAAAGTCGCTGCCTTTTATCATATTTCTGATTTTGTGAATGATATTTGTATTAGATGTATTCATTTGATATTGATTTTGCTACTAGGAGCATTGAATTGATGCTAAAGCTATCAAGACAAAGATCTGGACATTGTTGGTCAATAAATGTAACTCATCTCCCCCTTAATTTTCTATTTTTGACTTTATCTATAGCCTTTATTTAATCTTAGATTCTATCTGGCTCTAACTGTGTTGAAGTACTCGAGGTTTCTTCGCTTATGAAATTTGAAATTTGGTAGAAAATTGGTTCGTTCGAAGAGCTTTTAATGTTTTCCAAGGCACTGTCTGATTAAGGTATTTTTTTATGCAATGAAGTCTACGTTTGTTATCCTGTCTAATTTTATATGGTGTTACATTCTAGTTGTATCCTTTCTGTAGGGCGTTATGGTTTTAGAATGGGAACAAATAGCTAATGGAATCTAGTAAATTTGAACCCAGGCCTCTTTTCCTCAAGGACAAACTCTTCCAGTTTGCCTCATTCTCTATAGTTATCTAAGTATGCTATGCTGTCCTCGAAAACAAAACCGGTAAACCAAGGACAAACCCTACCGTGCATCGGAACCTCACCAACCAAAAAAAATAAAGAAAAGAAAAAGTTGGAAAGTGGTAACCAATAGAAAAGGATAGAAAAGAAAAGCTTTTCATTGTTGTCGCTAAATTCTGGAGATGTGTCATTTCCAATTTATAATTATTCACTTAGCTATATCTTTTTTGAGAACTTTCTTAGCCTATATAATTATAATGAGACATTTTGGAGGGTTCAACAAAGAGTAAAAGTTCATTGTAACACATACGAAGAGGACCATGCCAACCCGTATGACTTTGCTATGGCACCTATTAGTAATATTAATTGTTTACACTAATTAATACACATTGCATCTCGGAAAAATAGTCTATTTTAAAGACTTAAAACTGTATAGAAATCACTTTTTTTTAGATAGTGGGAGTAGCACGTACGTGAGTTGCTGTTCATGAAATTTTGGGAAGTGCAGATGTCTATGTTATAGTTTTGTGTCAATCACAAAACAAACTTCAGATTTTCACACTTTCATCTTTTGTCGGCCGATTTTTTACTATATATATATATATGTACACAAATTTCATTTTTGTTTACATCAACTTCATTTTCAATTTCAAATATTATCATTATTCTATCAAAGAGCATACACATTTTCCCTTTGTTGCAATTCACAATTTTCACCTTAATTGAGGCATTTGAGTCATGTGTAGGGGTTTAAAAAATAATGATAATAGCAACTCTTTTTTGGGGAGGCAGAGGAATGACAAAGCTTGTCACTCCAAATTATGGTTTAAGTATTTTATGTAATCTTTAATTTCTACATCCCAAACATGAACGTGCAATTAAAACAAATTATTTACGTCCAATTCATATTATTTTTAGTCCAATTTAGTAGGATATGATCTTACATGAGCAAAATTTTGTACCTTTCTTCACTAATCAAACGCGTTTTGGAGGATCTTAGCGACTTAGTAATACTTATGTTGTGTATGATTTAGATTTGGACCCAAAACTAGTAAAATTTCATTGAAATAATTAATTTAACATATTTGATCATGATGCCATGGCTAAGATCGGATTCGTCCATCTTGATATTTATTTTCATTTTCCTTTCCAATTGACAACTTTAATTTATTAAGTTTTTTTATCAGGTGAAGGAAGGGGACACTAGCCCCGGAAAATCATCTTCCTCCCTTGATTTTTCACTATATATGCTTGAAGAAAAACATTATTTTTGCCTGGAAAAATTATATTTCCATGGATTTAAGACATTCTGCCATAGCTGGTTTTTGTGTAGAGAAGTCAATCATAGTCATGGAAGGCAAAGAAAAATATATCAAAATTGCGTAATTCATGAGGAAACCAATTTTATTCAATTTGTAGAAATAAGTATAACAGTAGACATATTAATTAATATAACTCATATCATGATTTCAGTACACCATAGGAGTGGGGGAAAGTGCATCAAGTCATACGCTGAAACATAGATACATCCTTAGACTTAATTGTTTTCAAACTTTTTATTTATTAGACAAGCTTAAGAAAAGGATTTCCATTTGCAATTGTAATAATAGTTAACTGATTCTCCAAAATAAAAATTATAATGTTATCCAATTTTGCATGGAGGTATAGTATTCGACTTTGATTCTATGGTGAGAATGGATATTACCTCAGAATAGGCCCAAGAAAAAAGCCTTTTCGAGGTGGAGGTGGAGATGTTTTACGGCGCGGAGGTGGTGGTGATCTTTTACGGGGTAGAGGTGGTGATCTTTTTCGAGGTGGTGGACAAGATTTCTTTGGAGGTGGTGGTGATATTTTACGGGGTGGAGGTGGTGACCTCTTTCGAGGTGGTGGAAGAGATTTCTTAGGAGGTGGTGGGGATGAACCTTTAGGAGCACATGTGGTTTCTGGAGGTGGAGGTGATTTTTGAAGTGAAGGGGGAGGTGGTGGAGGTGACTTTTGAGGTGGAGGAGAAGGTGATGGTGATTTAATAGTTGGAGGAGGAGGAGGCGGTGGTAATTTGTAAGTTGGAGGAGGGGGAGGAGATAGTGACTTTTCTGGGGAAGGAGGTGGTGGTGGTAATGATGGTGACTTCTGTGGTGGAGGAGGTGGTGGTGGGGACAAGTTTGGTAGAGGTGGTGGGGGTGGTGATAGTGATTTTGGTGTTGGAGGTGGTGGTGGTTGTGATGGTGATTTTTGAGGTGGAGGTGGTGGTGGCGGTGATTTGAATATTGGAAGGGGTGGGGGTGGCGACTTGTTTTGTTTCTGTGGTGGAGGAGGTGTTAGTGATGGTGATTTGTAAGGTGGAGGGGGTGGTGGTGGTGAGTTTTTCAGTGGTGGTGGCGGTGGAGGTGATGGAGACTTTTGTGGTGGAGAAGGAGGTGGTGGAGATTTATACATTGGAGGGGGTGGCAATGGCAACTTATTTGGTGGAGGTGGTGTCGATGGTGATTTGTAAGTTGGAGGAGGTGGAGGGGATGTCTTCAAGGGCAGGGGTGGTGGTGGTGATTTTGTTGGTGGTGGAGGAGGTGGAGGCGAAATTGTGGGTGGCGGGGGAGGGTGTGACACGGCAAGTGGTGGTGATTTTGTTGGTGGTGGAGAAGGTGGAGGCGAACTTATGTGTGAGGGAGGAGGTGACATGACAAGGAGTGGTGGCGGTGGTGATTTCATTCCTGGTAGAGAAGGTGGAGGCGAACTCATGAGAAGGGGAGGAGGGGACACGACAAAGGGTGGTGGCTGTGGTGATTTCGTACTTGGTGGAGGAGATGGAGGTGAACTCGTTGGTGGCGGGGGAGGAAGTAACACGACAAGAGGTGGTGGCGGTGGTGATTTCGTAGGTGGTGGAGGAGGTGGAGGCGAACTCTTGGGTGGTGGGAAAGGAGGTGTCACAACAAGGGGTGGTGGCATTGGTGATTTTGTTGGTGGTGGAAGAGGTGCAGGCGAACTCATGGATGGTGGTGGAGGAGGTGACAGAAGAGAGAGTGGCGGTGGTGATTTCATTGATGCTGAAGGAGGTGGAGACGAACTCGTAGGTGGTTGGGGAGGAGATAACACGACAAGGGGTGGCGGCGGTGTTGATTTTGTTGGTGGTGGAGGAGGTGGAGGGAAACTCGTCAGTGGTGGCGGAGGAGATGACACGACAAGGGGTGGTGGCAGTGGTGATCTCGTAGTTGGTGGAGGAGGTGGTGGAGGAGAAGGTGACACAACAAGGGATGGTGGCGGGGGTGATTTTGTTGGTGGGGAAGGAGGTGGAGGCGAACTCGTGGGTGGTTGGGGAGGAGGTAACACGACAAGGGGTGGCGGCGGTGTTGATTTTGTTGGTGATGGAGGAGGTGGAGGCAAACTCGTCGGTGGTGGCGGAGGAGATGACACGACAAAGGGTGGTGGTGATGGTGATTTTGTTGGTGATGGAGGTGAACTCGTGGGTTGTGGGGGTGGAGGTGACACAACGGGTGGTGGCTTTGGTGATTTCATGGGTGATAGAGGACGTGGAGGCGAACTCATGGTTGGAGGCGGAGTAGGTGACACGACAAGGGGTGGTGGCGATGGTGATTTTGTAGGTGGTGGAGGAGGTGGAGGTGAACTCGTTTGTTGTGGGGGTGGAGGTGACACGACTAGGGGTGGTGGCTTTGGTGATTTCACGGGTGATGGAGGAGGTGGAGATGAACTCGTGGGTGGTGGAGGAGTAGGTGACAAGACAAGGGGCGGGGGCGGTGCTGAAGTCGTTGGTGGTTGAGGAGGTGGAGGCGAACTCCTGGGTGGTGGGAGAGGAGGTGTCACCACAAGGGGTGGTGTTGTTGGTGATTTTGTTGGTGGTGGAGGAGGTGGAGGTGAACTCGTGGGTTGTGGGGGTGGAGGTGACACAACAACGGGTGGTGGCTTTGGTGATTTCATCGGTGATGGAGGAGGTTGAGGCGAATTCGTGGGTGGTGGAGGAGTTGGTGACATGACAAGGGGTGGCGGCGGCGGTGAATTTGTTGGTGGAGGAGGTGGAGCCGAACTCGTGGGTAGTGGGGGAGGAGGTGTCGCAACAATGGGTGGTGGCATTGGTGATTTTGTCGGTGGTGGAGGAGGTGTACGCGAACTCATGGATGGTGGGGGAGGAGGTGACACAAGAGATAGTGGCGGTGGTGATTTCGTTGATGGTGAAGGAGGTGGAGGCGAACTCGTGGGTGGTTGGGGAGAAGGTAACACGACAAGGGGTGGTGGCGGTGTTGATTTTGTTGGTGATGGAGGAGGTGGAGGCAAACTCGTCGGTGGTGGCGGAGGAGATGACACGACAAAGGGTGGTGGTGGTGGTGATTTTGTTGGTGGTGGAGGAGGTGGAGGTGAATTCGTGAGTTGTGGGGGTGGAGGTGACACAACAAGGGGTGGTGGCTTTGGTGATTTCATGGGTGATGGAGGAGGTGGAGGGGAACTCATGGGTGGAGGCGGAGTAGGTGACACGACAAGGGGTGGTGGTGGCGGTGAATTCATTGGTGGTGGAGGAGGTGGAGGCGAACTCGTGGGTGGTGGGGGAGGAGGTGTCGCAACAAGGGGTGGTGGCGTTGGTGATTTAGTCGGTGGTGGAGGAGGTGCAGGTGAACTCATGGATGGTGGGGGAGGAGGTGACACAAGAGATAGTGGCGGTGGTGATTTCGTTGATGGTGAAGGAGGTGGAGGCGAACTCGTGGATAGTTGGGGAGGAGGTAACACGACAAGGGGTGGCGGCGGTGTTGATTTTGTTGTTAATGGAGGAGGTGGAGGCAAACTCGTGGGTGGTGGCGGAGGAGATAACACGACAAGGGGTGGTGGCAGTGGTGATGTCGTAGTTGGTGGAGGAGGTGGTGGAGGAGGAGGTGACACGACAAGGGGTGGTGGCGGTGGTGATTTTGTTGGTGGTGGAGGAAAAGGTGACACGGGAAGGGGTGGAGGAGGTGGAGGTGGTGACAGGGGAGGAGGAGGTGGAGGTGGCGGAGATTTTGGTATGAGTGGTGGACGCCAAATCGGTGGCTTGGGTGGGTGAGGTGGTGGCTTAGGCCACCACCAAGGAAAAGGTGGCCACCACCAAGGAAAATGTCCGAAATTGGCCTCGGCTCTAAACACAAGTATTGAGAAAAAGAATAGTGGTATGAGGTGCCTTAAAAAGACTATTAGGCTCCCCATTGTTTGATTAATTCTTTACAGATTCAACGAGATTTTATCAAATTCATAACTTTGCCTCTCACCTCCGAGTTGAGATACTTTATTAACGCTTGTGTTTTGGATATTGTATTTATAGTTCAAATAAAGCATGTGATATACAAAATAATAATACATTGAAGTATAAGGATCATTAATTTTTAGTTGTTTTGACTTTTTATATTCGTGCAATTCACCTACAAGTAATGCAACATCCATTTATTTATAAAATGTGGTGCTTACAAAGACGTCTATAAGAAAACCGTAGCCGCTTTTTAGATGTTTGGTAAAAACAGCTGGAAGAGCCACTGGTGTTTTTTTTGTCTAAACAATCAATATTTTCAAATTGAATTCATCATGATATTTGCGTGATAAAGAGGACTTGAAGGTTTACTATGATTTTCAACTCTTACTACGTTCTTTTTGTGGCTATGATTTATAAATTTAAATGACAGCATACCAGTATACAACTTCTTACCCATAACACACTATATTTAATGGCGTATCAATTTTTCAGTAATTTCACTAGTAATAAGCAGCACCATAATTAAATTAAAAATATAAATTTTGTTGTGGGTTATGATTGAGCTTTTAGAAGAACTAATATTTTGGTTTAGAATAGAATTTTTTTTTATATTATGTTTGTCATAGTAATTCTCAAATTTTATTTTTCTCCTATTGAAAACTTCACTAGAGAGGGTAATTATCTCTCACATTTTTACATTTTAAATTTATTAATTAATAGTCTCTAAGTCAACTCGTTGAACAAAGAATAATCTACTGAAATGGACTGTTAATGTAAGGGATAGTCATCAAGTTTCAAACCAAGTTGTTATTTTATGTCTATCATCAACTATTCAAGTTTAGAAGAATCATTGTTTTTTAGAAGAATCATTTTGGTTCATTAGTTAACTTCAAAGAAACCTGAATTACTTAAAGCATAGTGTGTATTGGATCGCCAAAAGATACTCACTCTGACCAAAATTGATTGTCATGTAATTGTAATAAAATTATTATAAACATTACACAATCATTTTAAGATAGAAATAATAAAAGTAAGATTACGCTCTTTTCTTTATAATTAGTAGGTGTGCCCTTAAAAACTGTGCCCTAAAACTTTAATTTTAACTTATATAATTTGCTAGCAACGTCAACTGTTCTTAAAGTTTAAATAATATACATACGTTGAAGAGAAAAAAACAAATCATATCTTTTTAAATACATGTGCTAAATTTCCTACTTGACATTGAAGGGCGTTGGTTTCAATACAGTAACATGATATTAATTTTCTATTTCAAGACTGCCAAGATAACTAAATTATTTAAATAAAAATCAAATCAAGCATCGATATTGTATTTTTTCACTCTTGATTGGATCCAATAACATTTTTAATTTGTTATTTTTTTCCCTCCTTTTTGCTTATTTTGGAGTATTTTTCTACTTTCAATTTTCATCAAATTACTATTTTAAGTATGTTAGCTTTTGCCTTAATTCTGAAAGCAAATTTTAACATTATTTGTTATGTGTTATTACATTTTGATGCGACTCTTCACGTTTAATTTTCTTATTGATAATTGTACCAAACAAATAGAATACGGCAAAAAACAAAAAAATAGAAAGACCATAGTGATTAATCATATTGTTTAAAAGAATTCATCATATGTTGTTTTATCATGTTGTGCAATGATTTCTTTTGATCTCTCTTATAGTTGCATCTATATGAGTACTCTTAACTATTTTTTCTTTTTCTTTTTTCTTTTCTGATGGAGGAATATAACTTCAATGATTGTTAAATTGTTTAATCTCTCGTCCCCCTCATAATGAATAAATTGTTCACTTCGGTAAATTATTTCCTATTCAACAAAGTTGATCATATAAGATAGAGTAAGTGATAATGAGTTATTATAAAACTGTGAGAAACAAGATCACATGAAAAAATATACATAACTCAACCCCTTGTGTCAAATCTTTTCTTAAGGTAATGAGAAATAAGAATGAAGCTCCTATGTAATGATTTTAAAGTCATGCAACCATACCACAATGAAAAAAATTGTAGATATTTGCAGAGAGAAAGAACCATAAGTTAGTTACGCACTTGACCTAATTAAATGTAGGATTTTGCCTTCTTTGAGAAGGCAAGTAGGTTTTGGCAAAATGACATGTAGTCAACAAGCATTGAATAATGGAAACTATATGGACAACTTGTAGCATATATGAGGAAACAAAAAGTAAGAAACTAAAGTCATGAATAAATTAGATACGTTTGGACCAATATTATAAAGACATATATGAGCCTAGAAAATTTGGTAAAACTATTAAATGAAGAACAAGCATTTTCAACAGTTTATATATGTGTATATGATAAAAAATAGACCTAAAGAGTAAGGTTACATGTATTTAAGAAAAAAAAAAAAGGAGAGTAAAGCTCCATTTGATAATCACTGAACTCTGAATTTGAACACTTAACACTTAACACTGAAGTCTGAAATCTCAAGACTGAATTTACATTGTTTGATAAAAACGTCTGAATTTGATGTCTAAAGACTGGAGTTTGAAGTCTGAAGACTAAATCTGAATACTCAGGTCTGAAAGTTATTTAAAATTTTAATATTATTAAAATTAATTATAAATAAAATTCTTTCAAATAGAAAAATAATGAATATTTTATTCTAAATAATAAAATGATAATTTTAAAATATGTTTTTGGTATATATAATGAAAGTAGACATTACACTTGGCAAATAATCAATATATAATTAAATTTAGATTATTTACATACATCGATGTATATATATATGTATACCTTATTATTTAGCAAATTTTATGTATTAAAATTAATTTAATTCGATTTGAAAGTTTGCGATTTTTTATACTCATAATATAAATTCAAATTTACGCACTCTTAATTAATTTATCTTAAGAAAACAAAAATTTCAAAACAGTGTAAAAATAAGCATCGAAATAAAGACGAGGAAAAAAAAAGGAAAAAAATAGAAAAAAAAGAGTCATCACAGACATTAAGGGATAAGTGATAAGTGGTAGGCCTATCACTTATTTTCTAGGCTACAATTGAACTGGCCATTCAGACACACTTAATTAATTCATACAGTGAAACTTTAGTTATCAAACGCACTTAATTTATAAGTATTTAATCAGTTTAGAACTTAATTCATTAAGACTTTTTAGTAGCGATTATCAAATACACTTAATTTCATTAAGTACTAAAATAAATTAAGTATCTATATTAAGTGATTATCAAACAGAGCCTAAGCTTACTATTTTGTAGTGTTTTTAATCCTAAAAAAAACTTACTCTTCAGTAAAAATAGTCCACTCTGTTGAACAAAAATAGTACAATAAAGCACAGTATTATTTTGGAACAGAGGGAGTAATATATATATATATATATATATATATATATAAACGGAATGAATGGAGATAAAAAGTGGTATCTAGTCTTACAAGTCATGATTTTCTTTTTAAATAATGATATATAATGCGTAACTTTTACAAGAAAAGGAAATAGTAATATCATATCCATTCATTTTTAATACTTTCCATTTGGAGTTTAGGCATTTAATATTAGCGGGATAGCTTAGATGATCGGCACATCATTTCTTATAAGTTTTTCCTGTAATTTTTCCTACATGATTGGCATAGTTTAAGTTGAACAATTACTTAATTTAGGTAAAAAAAACAAATAAAGAGAATGCACTTTATTGCTGACTAATTTTTATGGCTTTGTGAAATTTTTGGTTGTTCTATATTTGAGAATGATTAACTTCATAGTTTATCTACTAATTGGCAAAACTTAATTATATATTGGCTAAATTATTTTCTTATTCAGGTAATGATATATTAGTCTTGCTAATATGTATGCTATTTTAAGTATTCACCATGGTCACAACTTAAGATTTCATTTAGGACCTTAATTTAATTATTCTAATAATTTTTGCTCATAACATCATCAGACCGCTTGAACTAAAATTATCGCAAAAAATATTAGAGGTGTGATTTTCAATCATAGATATAATTACATGCATCCAATAACTATATACTCCCGTCCTGAAATTATTATTAAGTTTAGATTTTCATTTTTAGTACCAATTAAACTAAAAGTAAAAAATCTAAACTGAAATAATTATGGGACGGAGGGAGTACTAACTATTACCTATATAAAATTTTAATAAAAAAAAAAGATTGGATGCATTTAATATTATTTTGCAAGACATGCAAGTGGATTCATTCATGTAATGGTTAGGCAGAAATGCCAAAATTCATGAATTTGTAATAACTAACTATACCACACAAATAAATAATAATGTTACTTCTATTTTATTTATAGGTTTATTACCACTTTAATTAAACGTTTTGGAACTATAACAAAGATTAAAGAAAAGAATAAAAGAGTAGATTATCGTCATAAATATAGACTATTAAAAAATGGATACATAAATGTGAAACTGAAAAAAAAAAGTAGCTAATGTTACATTGTCAACAATGTTTGGTAGAGGAAAAAAAAAATAATATACTCGATTACAACAAATAAAACAAAGGTAGTAATAAAACGAAACAAAACAAACAAAAGGAAAAAGAAATTTTAGATGACCATTTTTAAATTAGCGAGATAGACCACATAAAAATTTCAAATTCTTTTAGATCATGTCTTGTTTTACAACAATTTCCTAACTATATAAGATGTGGTACTTTGGAGAGATAAACAAATTGAAAGCAAGGGTTCATGTCACGTATGAAGAACCATGACTACACATATGACTTTTTTATGGCAGTACCTCTTAGCAGTATTCTTATTTACACTAATATCAAGTACATGGGGTGACTTTTGGCCTTTTGTACCTTTGCCAACAAAGCCAGATCTTCCACCTCTACCACCTAAGCCAGATCTCCCGCCTTTACCACCTAAACTACCATTGCCACCGTTGCCACCGAAACCGCCATTGCCACCAAAACCACCATTCCCTTTCCAACCATCACCACCACCACCTACAAAAGTACCCCCACCACCTTCTCCCCCACCTCCGTCTCCTCTCCCACCTTCTCCCCCACCTCCATCCCCACCACCACCCAATGAATCTCCCCCGCCTCCTCCACCACCACCTAGTGAATCACCTCCTCCACCTTCTCCCCCTCCTCTTTCACCACCCCTACCTAGTGAATCACCACCGCCACCTTCTCCCCCGCCTCCGTCTCCACCTCCACCAATTGAATCTCCTCCTCCACCTTCTCCGCCACCTCCATCTCCACTACCACCTCCACCTCCTCCACCGTCTCCCCCGCCTCCTTCTCCACCCTTACTGAGTAAATCGCCACCTCCACCTTCTCCCCCACCTCCGTCTCCATCTCCACCAATTAAAACTCCTTCTCCACCTTCTCCGCCACCTCCGTCTCCACCCCCACCAAGTGAATCTCCCCCTCCTCCGTCGCCATCACCACCAAGTGAATCTCCTTTGTCACCATCACCACCACCACCAAGTAAATCTCCTCCTCCACCTTCTCCTTCACCAACCAACAAATCACCTCCATCTTCATCACCCCCACCTCCTAATAAATTCCCACCTCTACAACCCGCAAAATCACCACCACCTCCTTTTCAACCAAATAAGTCACCTCCACCCCCATCCCCGTCACCACCTAAAAGATCTCCTTTATCGCCACCACCTATGAAAATTCTAACTCCACCACCACCACCACCACCAAAAAAGTCAACATCTCCCCCACCACCTAAAAAGTTTACTTCTCCTCCCCCACCTTCTCCCCCACCTCCATCCCCACCACCACCCAATGAATCTCCCTCGCTTCTTTCTCCACCGCCATCTAGTGAATCACCTCCCCCACCGTCTCCCCCCCCTCCTTCTCCACCCTTACTGAGTGAATCGCCACCTCCACCTTCTCCCCCACCTCCGTCTCCATCTCCACCAATTAAAACTCCTTCTCCACCTTCTCCGCCACCTCCGTCTCCACCCCCACCAAGTGAATCTCCCCCTCCTCCGTCGCCATCACCACCAAGTGAATCTCCTTTGTCACCATCACCACCACCACCAAGTAAATCTCCTCCTCCACCTTCTCCTTCACCAACCAACAAGTCACCTCCATCTTCATCACCCCCACCTCCTAAGAAATTCCCACCTCTACAACCCGCAAAATCACCACCACCTCCTTTTCAACCAAATAAGTCACCTCCACCCCCATCCCCGTCACCACCTAAAAGATCTCCTTTATCGCCACCACCTATGAAAATTCTAACTCCACCACCACCACCACCACCAAAAAAGTCAACATCTCCCCCACCACCTAAAAAGTTTACTTCTCCTCCCCCACCTTCTCCCCCACCTCCATCCCCACCACCACCCAATGAATCTCCCTCGCTTCTTTCTCCACCGCCATCTAGTGAATCACATCCTCCACCGTCTCCCCCCCCTCCTTCTCCACCGTTACTGAGTGAATCGCCACCTCCACCTTCTCCCCCACCTCCGTCTCCATCTCCACCAATTAAAACTCCTTCTCCACCTTCTCCGCCACCTCCGTCTCCACCCCCACCAAGTGAATCTCCCCCTCCTCCGTCGCCATCACCACCAAGTGAATCTCCTTTGTCACCATCACCACCACCACCAAGTAAATCTCCTCCTCCACCTTCTCCTTCACCAACCAACAAGTCACCTCCATCTTCATCACCCCCACCTCCTAAGAAATTCCCACCTCTACAACCCGCAAAATCACCACCACCTCCTTTTCAACCAAATAAGTCACCTCCACCCCCATCCTCGTCACCACCTAAAAGATCTCCTTTATCGCCACCACCTATGAAAATTCTAACTCCACCACCACCACCACCAAAAAAGCCAACATCTCCCCCACCACCTAAAAAGTTTACTTCTCCTCCCCCACCTTCTCCCCCAAATACCATAACATCTCCCCCACCACTTCCACCACAATCTCCTCCGCCGGCGAAAAAAACCTCTCCACCACCATCTAACAAATCTCCTTTACCACCACCACCGAATAAAGCACCTACATCGGGATCTCCTCCACCACAAGGAAAAAGATCACCTCCACCACCTTCTCCTTCCCCTTCCAAAAGGTCACCTCCACTCTCAACCCCTCCACCACCTAAAGAAACTCCTCCACTGCTTACTCCTCCGCCACCTAAGAAATCTTTTTCACCGCCCCCACCATCGCCAAATACAATAACATCTCCCCCACCACTTCCACCGCAATCTCCTCCGCCGGCGAGAAAAACCTCTCCACCACCATCTAACAAATCTCCTTTACCACCACCACCGAATAAATCACCTACATCGGGATCTCCTCCACCACAAGGAAAAAGATCACCTCCACCACCTTCTCCTTCCCCTTCCAAAAGGTTACCTCCACTTTCAACCCCTCCACCACTTAAAAAAACTCCGACTATGCTTACTCCTCCGCCAGCTAGGGAATGTTTTTCATCACCACCACCCCCACCCAAAATCGTAACATCTCCCCCACCACCTCCACCACAATCTCCTCTACCATCAAGAAAAACCCCTCCACCACCATCTAACAAATCTCCTTTACCACCATCACCCAAGAAAGCACCTACATCTGGATCTCCTCCACCACCAGGAAAAAGATCGCATCCACCTCTTTCTCCTTCCCATTTTAATATGTCACCTCCCACGCAATCTCCTCCTCCAACAAGAGAAACCCCTCCTCCTCCCTCTAACAAATCTTCTTTGGCACCACCATCACCCCTAAAGAAATCACCTCCTCCATCTTCTCTTCCACCACCTAGGAAAGAACCTGCTCCTCCACATGGAAAAAAGTCTCCACCCTCTGCTCCATCAAGAACCCCCCCACCATCTTCTGATGATCCTGGTTGTACACCACCCGTAACAAAATCACCACCACCATCTTCACTTTTGCCACGTAAGAAAGTTCCTACATCCACTCCTCCTCCACCAAGTAGCTAAAATAAAGGTGGATCTTGCAAAGCATTTTAAATGCTAGCGAAACTTTATTCACCCACATTTTTATTGATAAAAATTATTGTAGGACTCATTAGAGTTCCACTAATGTATGTTGTTTTCTTATATGGACGTACTTGAAATTAAATATATTATATATTCACACCAAGATTTATATTTTTTTTTTCTAATAAGTGTTACCAATGATTTATGTATTGATTCTCAAGATTGATATGTCTTGTTGTGTAGTGTATAAATCAAAAATCAATTTAAGGATTTACTCTAACACCAAGTTTCCTAGAATGATGATAATAGCTACTTGAATACTTGGCAATAACCTGGACTACAAGAAAATACAATTGTCTTGAAAATTTACATTACAATATAATTAGTCAAGGGTATCAACAAACTGAAGAGATTAATACAGTTGATACTAAATGTCTCAAAAATGGTGAAATAATGCAGTTATATGTTCAGATTTAGTTTAGAATATTAATTACACTTGTAACATGTCATTAGTAAGAAACGCTATCTCTCTCATATCTCTATACTAAAAAGTAAAAAAAAAAAATCCAAGCTTCACATCGGCCACTATTTTCTTCCTATGATGAGTTTTGCAGAAGTAGTTATTTTTATTATTGAAAAGAATCACGATGCAACACAAAACATCTAGTTGGTTGTGAACTAACTTGGAGGAATACTTTAGCAGTCATATATCTCGAATGATTCAAGTTTAAAATCTTTTTGGATAAGATTAGTTTTCTTACCATTGTATAAATGTACTTAGTTGGATATTTTCATCTTTTGTGTATAAATAGGAGATAGTACTCTAATGTTATTTAACAATCTGAACTCAATTAAATACTTTCATAATTTTCATGTCGGTTTTCATATTATTTTCATGATGTGGAGTTCAGGTTATAAATCTGTCGTCTGCAAAAGCATTTTTTTCTTTGGCTTTTTTTAATATGACATGGAAGGCAATCACACTGGTGTTGCTTTATCTTAGTCTATTAAACATGGAGACTCGCTTGTTCTCCTATCTTTTAATAACCCGGAAATGCTTCTAATGACTTCTAAATTAACAAGATCGAATTATTTATCATGAAGTTGATCCGTCAAGATTTCCGTAAGAGCAAAGAACAAGCTCAGGTTTATATATTGATGAAAAAATGCGTTGCACCATATAAACATTCTTAGTTCTATGAGTTGTGACAGCGTGTCAACTACATGATTGTATCATGGCTATGAAATTCAATTTCTAAAGAGATTGTTGAAGCCTTTCTTTTTGTCACCAATGACCATGAGCTCCGAGTTGAATTGGAGGAATGTTTTGGTGTATGAAATGGTCCTCTCTCTTTAAGATCTCAGAGAGAAATTGATGCAATCAATTAAGGTACTGATTTTGATCTCAAGTACTTTACTCGCTTAAGGAGATTGTGGGACAAACTACAACGTCTCATCTTGATTCATGAGTACCATTGGCGAGTTTGTTGAGGCACCTAAAATTAATCCGGAAATCCTACTGAACTACAAAAATTTGCAGTAGTAGCAGTACCAGGTCAAAATCCCAAAGGAGCTAGTTTCTCAGTTTCTTAGAATGACAGTGACAAAAGATTGTGTTTGTTTGATTTACTAACTACCAAGATTTAGAACTAATGATTCTTTCAAAAATAAAATAATTAAACAAGTACGAAATTCAATAACACAAAGATTCTAGCTCAAGGGATGGATCATCCAGATACTTCACAGATCATCGGTATCTAAAATTATTCTTGCAGTTAGCGTAATCAAGTTTAAGCATACCAGGATAGTCGTAGTAAACCAAAAATTCCCTTAAATTAACTAACCAAACCTAACATTCGATTAGCACTTATCATTAAACGTTGGGCCTGATAGCGTTCCATACAAATCAATGATAACAATAAAACTAAGGGAATATACTTGAAACACAATTCAAAATTATTGAGATAGCTGCAATAAATTAAATTACGATTTGTTCATTCTACTACTACGCATTCAAAAACACCTAAAGTCTCACAAATGCACAAGTAATGCATAGTACTACTAAACTTCAAAGGTTCCTGTCAATTACGTAACATACAATAGGATAGTATTAAAAGGTAAATAGAAACCAAGTTGTCAATTCAGTTTATACTCATTTTTACAATTTTAAACAAAGATAAACAAACAACTCAAACCATAGACAAGATTGAAATAAAAACAAAACCTCACATATGAAATAACTGGATTAAATCCTCTGAATAAGAAATAAAGGGTTTAGCTAATCATAATTATGGATATGATAGCTAGATTATTCATAAGAACAATAGTACCAAGTCTAGAAGAATTAAAACCCGGAGAAAACTGAAACACCGGTTGACCTCCAAAGCCAAAAACTAGTGGATGCTATGTACGTGTGTTCGTGCGTAAGAAAAATGGTGGCCAAAAACTGAACTCACGGCTGCATTTAAAGGAGTATTAAAAAAAAAACCAAAAGCTTGGCAAAGAATTATAGAATTCATCCCTCTATTTTTAGCTCCTTCAAAATTGGCCCACAAGTTCTTCAATGATAAAATTAAGTCCACTAAGTTTCTTCTTACCAGCTTTTGCCTCCAGCAGTTTTCATGTTTTGCAATTAAGTCCATCAACAGAGTAACTTCTCCCCATGCTCAAACTGGATGATTTGCAATTGACCTTTTTGTATCAATTAGCTCAGATAAGTCGTAAACTCCAATTTTCAGCTCCTAATGCAAAATATTGTAAAAAAATGAATTAAAACCATCCAAGACCATAAACTAATAAAATAATAACAATTAAAACATAATTCATGGACTCTATTAGCCATTGTGGTTGTGTTAATATTTTTCCTAATTTTAATGTGGGTAAGAAGTTATTGTAGTTCTTAATCGAGCTAAATCATGTTTATAACGCTGCCAAGAACTAATTTTCTTACTTGAGTCATTGCCTGGCAGTAATAAAGCCTATGCATTGATCTTGAAAGTTGAAGTCGAGAGTGAAAATCGTACCGATGTCTCCAATTGGTTGCACCACCGAATATCGATGGTCAGTAACATCAAAACCATAAAATCTACTAAATTACCCCAGCTATCCCTCGGGCTAGTCTTCTAATGCTCAACTCTACAATGATGTTTAGAGTTAGTCTTCAGATGCTCAAGTCAATAATGATCTTTAAATAATCATATGGACATATAAATTGGGTGAAAAATCATATCTTCAACACAAGGGGTTGATCCTTAGTTTTAGAATTAGGGTTACCTTTTTATGAGACTGATAACATAAAAATATATAGTCTTTTAACAGGCATGTCTTACTCATTTCTACTTATAATTTAGTGTCAATTAGTTAGGTTTACTTTATTTTTAAGGTGATTTTGCAGTTCAGGAATCTCAGAGGGCCAATGTGGAAAATTAGTATAAAAGGGCCAAATTGCACAAAAAGGCATCAGAATGGACTGGAATGGAAGCTGCTGGAAATTGAGCTGCTAGAGGATCGATCAGAGCTGAAGCAAGTGGAGAAATCCTTGCTGTGAAAAGAAGATTGATAGCAGATGGATGCAAGTGGAAGATTTTACAGCAGCTACCTGAATGGAGGGAGAAGAAAAGGCAGCTGCTCTGCTGCCAAGTTGCTGTTGCAGTAGCTATTGCTGCTGTCAATCAGGAAGAGCTAAGGCCGAATTCTTGCATCCAAAGGAAGGAATTCCTTTTCCATCACTACAAGTTATAGTTGTTGCAAGTTGAAGAAGAGAAAGAGGGGGAATATGTGGAAAACAACAGCTACAACCTGCTACTTACCTGCTGTGACTGCTGCTGCTGAATTGATAAATTGGTTGTTGCGGTCAGGTGAGAAATGGTGTTATAAGTGATGACAGGAAACAAGGAAGGAAAATGGAGACAGATTTGGGCTGAATTGGATCATAAAGGTAGGAAGGTGATCGACCATTTTGCCTCTTCACTCTGTAAAGTGACTATTTTAACTCTCCCAAGTGACATTCTGTTTAACTCATTTTCTTTTCTTTCTGCACTTTAATCAGATTTTGAGCGATTGACTGCCGTCTCTGTGGAACGACCCTACTTACCCCTAGCTAATAGTTTTAAGTAGGTTTATAAATATTTCTTTTGGGAAGTGGTTCAACGAGAAAAAACACTCTCACCAAAAGTGGCACCACTGACGGGGATGGTGTTAAAAATTCTTAAAATCTGATTATTGTGTTATGTTTTTCTTCTTAGTTTGCAGTTTTTAATCAAATTCACTCACTCAAATCACAAATCTTGCTATTGTTATTCTTCACGTTTTGATTACTGGTTTATGACTAGAAGCAATCCATCAGGAGAGCTAAGTTTTGATCTAGAGATTGAAATCACCGCAAGGAGATCCAAAGCCTTGCGAAACAGAGAAGCTGTTGCTCGTGTTCTTAAAAGCCAGAAGTAGATGGCAAAAGTAGCAGCAGCCGATCAACCTTGAGAAAGAGAGCTACAACCAGCTTAACCCAGACTGCTAAGAGATTATTTTGTACCCCAAGAGGAGGAAGTTCAAACTCCACTGGTGTACAATGATGTTGCAGCAGAGAACTTTGAGCTCAAAACTCAAATGATTCAATGGGTGCAAGCTGCTTGTCCTTTCTATGGACTGCCTAGTGAAGATCCCAATGAGCACATTAGAAAATTCCTGAGACTGTGCAGCACCTTCAAGATTTAAGGTTTGTCTAAAGATGAGGTTTACTTGAGAATATTTCCATTCACACTACAGGATCTAGCAGCAAAATGGTTAGACACTCTGCCCAACAATTCAATCAATTCCCGGAATGGACTCAGACAGGCATTCCTTACTAAATTCTTCCCACCTATCAAAGCTGTTGATTTAAGATCAGCCATCATGACTTTTCAGCAGCATGGGATAGAGACTCTTTATGAGGCCTAGGAAAAATTTGAGGATCTAATGAGAAAGTGCCCTCAACATGGTGTAGAAATGCCAATGCAGTTATGCATCTTCTACAATGGATTATAGCAAGCTTCCAGAGAATCACTTGATTCATCATATGGAGGAGCATTCATGATGAAACATGTGGAAGAAGCAATCCAGCTACTGGAGAATATGTGTGCTAACCATTTCAGATGGCAAAAGGAGACTAGAGCTACAGCTGAGAAAGCAGGAGTGTTGGAGCTAGATGCTACAACTCACTTGCAAGCACAGATGGCAGCCATCACCAGTGAAATATCAAAGCTGAGAGCTGACATCAGCAAACCAAAGGTTGATGTATGTGAAATCTGCACAGGATCTCACCCCAGCTCTACCTATCAAGTCACTATGGAAGAAGTTCAATTCGTGAGACAAGGAAATGACAGAGGAGGCTTCAACAATTAGAGCAATTTGAGGCCACAGCAGAATAACAACTGGACCAATCAGCACTCGAGCTATCAGAGCTCAGCTCAACCACCTGGATTTCAGGATCAACCATTCGGAATCGAGGAAAAAGACTGGATAGAGGTAAGATATGCCCTTGTTAATCTTGATGTTACCATTAAGGAATTGCAAGAGCAAATCGCATGGATGGCTAGAAGGGTGTCCGACAAAAAAAGGGGAAAAGATTCCATGGAGACTAAGCAGGCCAATGCAATAACACTGAAAAGTGAGAAGCAGCTGCCACGACCTAGTGCAGCAGTCTCAGAGAAGAGGAGCAAAGAGAACCAAGAGGCAGAGTCATCAGAAAAAGAAACTGCAAAAGAGACAGCCAGGAGGAGCAGAACACCCCTGTCATCGACTTAACAGAGGAACAACAACCGTTAAGGCGACCACCTCCATATGAGCCTAAACTACCATTCCCAATACGAGATCCAAAGAAGAATGCAGAAGCTGGAATGAAGAAATTTGTTAAAAACCTGGAGAATTTTCAAATCAATGTCCCCTTGATATATGCTCTGCGACAGATACCGAAATACTTCAAGTATCTAAAGGAGCTGATGACAAGTAAACCAAGGATCCATGACTGCTCATTCATTACTCTAAATGAGGAATGCAGTGTAGTGCTTTAAAAGAAGCTACCTGCAAAACTCAAGGACCCAAGGAGCTTTACTCTGCCATGTACAGTAGGGAACATGAGTATCTAGAAGGCCCTACTAGATTTGGGAGCAAGCATTAATCTAATGCCCCTATCGGTTTTTAAAGCTTAGGAAATCGATGAGGTGCTGACCCTCACCAACATCACTCTGCAGCTGGCTGACAGATCACTTACCTACCCAAAAGGTGTGATCCATGATATACTGGTAAAAGTTGGAACATTCATATATCCAGTAGATTTTGTGGTGCTCGATATTGAAAAAGATACAGATGTCCCTATCATCCTTGGAAGACCATTCCTAGCAACCTGTGATGCTGCGATTGAAGTTAAGAAGGGAGCAGTCACTTTGAAGTTCGATGGAGAAAAGGTAACCTTCAATATCTTCGATAGCATGAAATTTCCTGCGGAAAAAACACCAATGTTTCAGGACTGACGCTGTCGAGATGGCTATAGAGGAGGCCTATGCAGTTCGTGCTGAACCAGATGAACTACTAAGACTGCTAATCCAAGGAGAAGTAGAACAGACACAACCCCCTGCAGGAGAAAAAGAGGAAGCAGTCACTTTGGCAAGTTACCTTGATTACTCGCCAAAATGCTCTGTCAAGCAGACAACTGAAATCTTGGATATGTCCAAGGAAAAAAGGAGCCTTAAGCCATCTATTGAAGAGCCGCTGATGATAGAATTGAAGCCACTGCCTGCTCATCTTAAGTATGTCTACTTAGGAGAAGGTAACACTCTACCTGTAATAAACTCATCCACTGTCACAACAGTGCAAGAAGATCAATTGCTCGGAGTACTGAAGAAGCACCGAACAGCAACCGGATGGACAATTGCCAACATAAAAGGCATCAGTCCTTCGGTGTGCAAAACCGACTATCAAAGGACAGAGAAAATTGAACCCAGAAATGAAAGAGGTGGTAAAAAGGGAGATAATCAAGTTACTAGAAGAAGCCATCATATATCCAATCTCGGATAGCAATTGGGTGAGCCCAGTGCAATGTGTGTCGAAGAAAGTAGGGATAACAATCATTAAGAATGACCAGAATGAGCCGATTCCCACCAGAGTGGTCAATTCTTAGAGGGTGTGTGTGGATTACAGGAAGCTAAACAATGCAAGAAAGGATCACTTCCCCTTACCTTTCATCGACCAGATGCTGAACAGGTTAGCAGGTCATCAGTATTATTGTTTTCTTGATGGATTTTCAGGGTACAACCAAATTCCTATTGCACTAGAAGACTAGGAGAAAACAACCTTTACATGTCCTTATGGCACCTTTGCTTTTAGAAGGATGTCATTCGGCCTATGTAACGCTCCCGCAACCTTCCAGCGATGTATGATTTCACTTTTCTCAAATATGGTGGAGGATATCATCGAGGTATTTATGGATAATTTCTCAGTTTTTGGTAATTCTTTTGATAACTTTCTCCATAATCAAGGAATAGTCCTTGGCCATAAAATTTCTGCCAATGGAATTGAGGTTGACAAAGCCAAAGTAGAAGTCATTGAGAAAATGGATCCTCCTAGATCAGTCAAAGGAATTCGTAGTTTTCTCGACCATGCAGGATTCTATAGAAGGTTTATCAAGGATTTCTCTAAAATCTCTAAACCACTCTGTAACTTGTTGGAAAAGGATGCAGCATTCATCTTTGATGACGATTGTATGAAGGCTTTTACAACATTGAAGGATAAACTCACCTCTGCCCCAGTGGTCATAACCCCTAACTGGTCTCGATCATTTGAGCTTATGTGTGATGCCAGTGACTTCTCAGTTGGGGTAATGCTGGGATAGAGAAGAGATAAGATCCTTAATTTGGTATACTATGCCAGCAAAACATTAAATCTAGCCCAAGTAAACTATTCTACAACCCAGAAAGAAATGTTGGCTATTGTCTTTGCTTTTGATAAGTTCAGGTCATACTTGCCTGGAATGAAAGTGATAGTATACACTAATCATGCTGCAATCAAGTACTTGGTCACCAAGAAGGATTGAAAACAAAGGCTAATCGGATGGATATTACTCCTACAAGAATTCGATTTGGAAATCAAGGACAGGAAAGGGACTCTGAACCAGGTAGCAGACCATCTATTAAGATTGGAAGGAACGCAAGTAGACTCAGAGCCGATTCGGGAAAAGTTCCCAGATGAGCAACTTTGGGGAGTAGAAGTGAAGCTTGCCCGTGTGACAGACAACAGACCCTGGTATGCTGATTATGCTAACTATATCATCAGCAACATTGTCCCTGTAGATTTAAGCAAACATCAAACGAAAAGGTTCCTTCATGATGCTAAATCCTATTACTGGGAGGAACCCTATTTGTTTAAACTCTGTGCGGATCAGTTGATTAGGAGATGCATACCAGCAGAAGAGACTGGGGCAATAATAGAAAAATGTCATTCAACCCCCTATGGAGGTCACTTCAGTGGACAAAGGACTGCTGCTAAGATCCTACAATCAGGTTTTTTCTGGCCTACACTGTTTGCTGATACTGACAAATTTTTTAAGTGTTTGGATAAATGCCAGAGATCAGGAAATTTGTCCTGGAGAAATGAACTGCCTCAGCAAATGATGTTAGAAGTGGAATTGTTCCATGTTTGGGGAATCGACTTCATGGTCCATTTGTCCCCTCGAACAATGACTCATGTATCATTCTCGCAGTAGACTATGTGTCCAAATGGGTAGAAGCAGCAGCACTCAAGTCTAGCGATTCCAAAACAGTGATCGAGTTCTTAAAAAAGAATATCTTCGCTTAGATTTGGAACTCCTAGAGTAATTTTCAGTGACGAATGATCGCATTTCTGCAACAAATACTTCTCAGCTCTAGTACAGAAGTTTGGTATTCAACATAAAGTGTCCACCCCATATCAACCTCAAATGAATGGTCAGGCTGAAGTATCCAACAGAGAAATTAAGCGTATATTGGAGAAGGTGGTGTGCAGTACAAGGAGGGATTGGTCATTCAGGCTCGATGACGCTCTTTGGGCCTATAGAACAACATACAAGACACCCATAGGCATGTCTCCATTCAAAATAGTCTATGGAAAGGCTTCTCACTTACCTGTTGAATTAGAACACAAGGCTTTCTGGGCTATTAAAGTACTCAACTATGAAACAGAGGCGGTACTGGGCAAAAGATTGTTACAATTAAATGAAATGGAGGAATTCAGAAGAAATGCATATGAATCATCCAGACTATACAAGGAGAGGACCAAGGTATATCATGAATGAAGAATAGCAAAAAAAAACAGCTGGAGGAAGGTCAGTTGGTTTTGTTATTTAACTCTAAATTGAAATTTTTTTCCTGGGAAGCTCATGTCAAGGTGGTCAGGGCCATTTGTAATCTCAAAAGTCTGAAGCCAAGAAGCAGTTGAGCTTGCCAACTTAGAAACTAGGAACACATTCTGCATCAATGGCCAGAGGGTAAAGCCATACAATCCCTTCGAGAAAACTGACTTATAGCACAGTGATGTGTTGTATCTCAAGGAATTGGAGTAAGGATACTAAAGAGTCTGGCATAAGACTTTAAACCAATGCACTGCTTGGGAGGGAACCCAAGGTAAGTTATTTTGTTCGCCTTAGTTTTATTTTCTTTTGTTAACTAATCAATCTATGGTAAGATGTCAGAAAGGGTAGAAGCACTCTTATCGATCATTTTCAAGACAGCAAAGTTCAAACTCAGATCGATATCACTCCCTCGACTGACAAAGCCCACTCGAGAAAGTGAAAAATGAGCAGGCAACCCAGAATAGTAAAGGGCACTAAGGGCAGTCTGGATAAACTTTGGGGGCAAATTGTGAAATTAACAACAATTGAGGGGCACAACGGAAAAATCACCATCATCTTCCTCCCCAAAAGTTTAAAAGTGCTCCCAAACCCTCAATATTCGGTAGAAGAATTCCACAACCATCAACCTCTCGCACAATTACCCTCAAAAATCTTGAATTTATGGCCCCCAGGCAGAAAGTAGCAGCTGAAAAGATAAACAACAAAAAGCTAGGCTTTGGGGTTTTGCAAGAAGCACCTGCGCCACTCCCACAACCACCGGTCATTCAACAAAAGACTGCACAGAAGGAATTGAGGACCAAATTCGATCTTGCATTGCTCTTCTCTGAGGCTACCTGGAATTTCTTTGAAAGGACCAGGAATCGGCCGGTAATAGTGGAAAGAGGAGTGGACACTGATAGTGCACCAGCATTGTACATCTCTCTATACAGGTGGGCAAGGCTGGCTAATCCTCTAATGGAACCGAGGATGAATGCAGTAAGGAAATGTTACAGCAATCTGACAGAGGCAGAAGGAGACGTGGTGTATGTGAGAGGAAGGAATGTGGACATTAGCCCTGCCACAATCAGAACCACATGGAGCTTGCCGACAGTGGAAATAGACCTAGATAAGGCACTAACGGATATGCACAAAGATAAAAGCTTAGTAGATGTGTTCCTCAACGAGCTCTATGAAGATGAGAACAGCGACTTGATGTGGGAACTCACAAAAAAGGGAACCCCTTAACATTTTCCCTGTAGCAAACTCCTTCCAGAAAACAAGTTGTGGCTCCACTTTATCTGCTCCAACATTATGCCTACAAGGTACACTACACGGGTGACCTATGAAGTGGTGGTACTGATTTATACCATTAAGACCTCCACTCTAATTGATCTGGGCACCATTCTGAAATGGCAATTGACTCGATGTGTCACTGATGTTAAAGTTAAAAGCTGGTACCTACCCGTGCTGGTAACAATGTTGATGGCCAGGTCTGGTGTGACATTCACTCCAGAGGATATACAGTTGCCTATAGCATCACTTTGGAGTTATAAGACATTAGCAAGAGAGCCACCTGCCAAGCTTTACGATGAGCCAGCACCAGTAACACATTGCAGAAGAAATGATTTTTCCAAGCAGCAGAGCTATATGCTCAATTACATCCATGAGGAATTCCAACGTATCAACAGGAAGCTCAAGCACATTCATAGTAAATTGGAATGCTCAAGCTCCTGCAAAGAGATGGATGACAGCTCACCACATCCCTTTCAAGGGATGAACCCTTAATCACCCAGGGGAATATGTTGTTTCCTTTTCTTTTCTTTTTCTTTTATCTTCTGTTTCTTTTAATTAGGTTTGTTTTTGTGTTTTTGTTTTGAGTCTATGCATCTAGAGTCCTTAGGATAGATAGAGTCCACTTTGTATGATGATTTTTTTATGACAGTTAAATTGCATGCTAAGTGTTTGTGTTTGTTCTTCCCCTGCATATTTGTTGTAAGCATTGGGGACAATGCTTATATTAAGTTTGGGGAGGGATTTGTATGTGTTGCATATTTTATGTGTTGCATATTTTAAACTTTACAAGATCAAATTTTGAAAAACAACAAAAAGTTTTAAGTTTGTGCGTAACTGTGAACAAGTCTATGTATATACAGTGTTAAAAGCCTATGATGATTAAAAAATGTGTGGGAAATTTTGAAATTTTGACACTTGTTGATTCACTTGAAGTCAATCCTGTAGTTCTTCACTTTCTCGAGCACAAGATGTCTCTTGCCTAAGTGAGAGTCTGAACTTAATGTTAAAATCTAAATGCCTTAATTACATTGTTATGATCTTATACTAGAGTCCACTTGTTTGAAACCTGGGGGGACTGTAATTTTGAGTGAAGACTAAGGCAGCTGTTCGCATCATGGCAGACTCTGTAAGAGCCCATGGTGGCCTCTAAAAGCCTAAAATCCTTGGGAAAGGGGAATGGTAGGCAGTTGAAATGAGCTGAAAAGAAAAATTCTGAAATGAGGGAAGTTAGGAAGACTTTCCAATGAGGCAGTAGTACCCCTGAGTGTTTAGGTTTGGCAAATAAATAGAGAGAGTCCCCAGACCTGGTGAGGAAATATGAGAAAAATGAATAAACTGCTCTAAGTTGCTGAGCCACTGTGAGAAATCACTATAAATAACAAGTGGAAATATGCTCTGGGTGAAATGCCCTAAGTTGCTGAGCCACTGTGAGAAATTATTATAAATACTGAGTGGAAATATGCTCTGGGCAGGGGCCTGAATGGGAAAGATCCAGAAGAAAAACCATATGGACAAGGATTAAAAGGGTTGAGGGAGAAATAAGATGCAGCCACTGTTGCTGTAGAATCTGTGAGGAAGTCCTTAGAATCTAAAAATCTCAGTAAGAATACCTTAGTTGATAGCATGCAGGAAATAGGTACTTATCACAATGATGTCCATTTGTTCTTAAATTGGTTAATTCTTAGAATGGATCATGGGTAAAAACTTGAATTTTGGCTGTGACATATCCACACACACACACACTGAAGAACTGTGATGCTGCCTTCCTGTGATAAACAATGGTGTATAATCTGTCCAGTATAGGACTTGAATCTGAGACTAACATTGATACAATGTCGCGTTTACTTCTGTTCATTTAGCCACATTTTTTTTCGATCACTGTCATTACTCTTATCCACAAAAATTTAAAAAATCACTTCTTCTTTATGAGTCAGTCCTTTTGTGTTTAGGTCAATAGGAATGTAGTTTGAGTCTATTTGCTACAGGATCAGCAAACCTCTGAGTTTGGCTCTATTTTTTGAGGACAAGCAATATTTCAAGTTTGGGAGAATCTGATAACGTAAAAATATATACCCTTTTAGCAGGCATTTCTTACTCATTTCTGCTTATAATTTAGTGTCAATTAGTTAGGATTAGTTTACTTTTTGGGTGATTTTTTAGTTCCGGAATCTCAGAGTGCCAATATGAAAAATTAGTATAAAAGAGGGTCAAATTGCACAAAAAGACGTCAGAATGGACTAGAATAGAAGTTGTTGAAAATTGAGCTGCTGGAAGATCGATCAGAGCTGAGACAAGTGGAGAAATCCTTGCTGTAGAAGGAAGATTGATACCAGATGGATGCAAGTGGAAGATTCTGCAGCAGCTACCTCAATAGAGGAAGTTGAAAAGGTAGCTGCTCTGCTACCAAGTTGCTGCTGCAGTAGCTATTGCTACTGTCAATCAGGAAGAGCCAATGTTGAATTCTTACTGCCAAAGGAAGGATTTGTTTAGCCATCACTGCAAGTTATAGCTGCTGCAAGTTGAAGAAGAGAAAGAGGGAGAATATGTGGAAAACAGTAGCTACAACCTGCTACTTATCTGTTGTGACTGTTGTTGCTGAATTGATGGATTGGCTGCTGGAGTTAGGTGAGAAATGGTGTTGCAAGTGATCACAGGAAAAAAGGAAGAAAAAAGCAGACAGAGTTGGGTTGAATTGGGGGCTAAAACACAATGATGGAAGAAAGCATGCTGCTGCTGCTAGTTGAGCTGTGAGGATTAAAGAATGAAGAAACAGAATTTTGTGGCTGAAATTGGAGAAACTGCGCCGGAGAAGAAGACTAAAAGAAGAAGGAAATGATGAGAGGAAAGTGACTGATTGTGGCTGAAGAGAAGGAGCAGCCAAAGAGAAGACCACAACTTGCCAACTAGGCAAGTTGCTGAGTAAACAAATCTCTATTGCTACAAGTTACTGCCTCACCTTTCTGCTGCAGAGAAGAAGGCCAGAAACCAACCAATACAAGCTTCTCAAAATCTCTATAAATAGTCAGCCAATAGCAGTTAGAAAAACAACAGATTGGGTAGTTAGATTTAATTACAAAGACAGTAGTTAGGTAGTTAGTTAGTAGGTTGGAAACAGGGTAGTAGCAGGAACAAGGAGGTAGACTGTCACTCTGTCAAGTGGCGAACGCCACTCGCCATAGTGAGCAGACAGAAACTGTCCTTGCTACCATCTTCCCTTTCTTTCCTCTAACCTTTTGATCTATATTTATGTCTTATCTTTTGAACTTTGTTGCTCTCATGTTTAACTCAATAAGCATGAGTAGCTAACTTAGTTAAGGGTTCAACCCTACTATCTTTATGTGAAGGTTTTGATTCAGTTTCCTTGATGAGGTGTTGTGCCTAGATAAATGATTTAATTAACCTTTTAATTAACTTGGCCACTCAATGGCTTAGATTAATGAATTGCTCTGACTGGAAGGTAGGTGATTTAGATAATCTTGGACTCTTTATTCTGTCTGGAAGGAATTATAAAGAATATAAATGCCTGATCGAACAACTAATCATACACTACAGGAATATCTGAATCAAAACTGCATCATAAAGGTAGGAAGGTGATTGACCATTCTGCTTCTTCACTCTGTCAAGTGATTATTCTCACTCTCCCAAGTCACAATCTGTTCAACTCATTTTCTTTTCTTTTTGCACTTTAATCAAATTTTGAGCGGTTGACTGCCATCTCTGTGGAACGAACCAGCTTACCACTAGCTAATAGTTTTAAGTAGGTTTATAAATATTTCTTTTGGGAAGTGGTTCAATGACAAAAACACTCTCACCAGAGACCTTTTCTTAGTTGGAAAGTAATTGCATTATTGTCCAAGAACATTCCAAAGGGTCAGTTGGCCTGCTTCTCAAACTTAGATCGGCCTTAGCCATGGACTAATTATTTTATCCTCTTTAAATGTTGTTTATTAGACCTTTTTTAGAGAAATCCTGGACGGTACTTGACGAGCATTCCCCAGATTTTATTAATTTAAAATAAACTAATACAAGGAGCAGTACTTAAGACTTACCCAAACAAATAACCGCCGTACAAAGATCTTCTAAGAATCCCATTACGGTTCTAGTGCAATCTTTATTTTTAGTTCTGGAGAATCCAGGGCGTTACCTGGCGGGAGGACTCCGATTTTATTAATTCAAACAAAAAGAGTACAATGGCAGTGCTTAAAACTTACCCAATTAAAAAAAAAAAAAGACACGTCTTACAAAAGTGTTTCTAAAAACTTCATGTTGGCTCTTAATATTTTACAACTAAGAACTATCTTAGAACAATTAAACTATATCCCATGACAGTTCATTTGGAAAGAAAAGATGTTGAACTATGACTATGCCTTACAAAGATTAAAAAGCATAAATCCCATGACATCTCTATCTAATCTATAAGCTTCCTATTTTTTCTTTTTTTTTTTAATCTAAATCTTAAATAAGGAAAAGAACATTTTTCTAAAAATCGTTTACCTCACAATGAGATTGGGATTTCTATTCACTTCACGATATACGTGAATGATCCTTGAATTTGAAAGTTGTAGCAGTTGTGGATTTCCTTGAAACTTGTGGTATGGCTCCAAGGAAAACTTTTGCCATTGTGGAAAATACTGACAATAGTTCCATTGTCCGTTTGAACAATCACCCGGCATATTCTTCTTTTCTCACAAGGACTAAGAACTAAGAATTTCTTCTCTAATTTCTTGTGCTTCCTTATATACCAAAGAGATGCTAAAATTTCTTGAATTTCTGGCTTTCATATCACTCGATCAAAATCAGAAGAGAAGATTATGTTGAGGCTTTCTAATCCACCATGCATATCAATCGATATGACATTCTCAAATTCCTCCAAATAAAATTGTTTATTTCCAAAAAAATCTCTGACTTGTAAATAATGAGTTGTTGTTGCCTGATGCCGTGGCGAAGAATGA